GAGCAATTTGGGGTCCTCTGTACTCACTGGATTTGGGGTGTAGAAGATTTTCTCAGAAGAAAATACACACAGAAGGACTGATGGAACTGGCATGTTGTGCTGAAGCTGGACAGTCTTTGTAACAAGGGGAGTCCCTTTGAGTACTGTGCCCCTGCCCAAAAGTTACCTGTGGATGTTCTCTTCATTCTTTACAGGCAGAGGAAAAGAGCACTGGGCTGCTTTGGGCACTTAACAGATGTCACAGCTGCAAATTGCATTTTCTATTGGCTAGATCAGTTTACAATCTGCCCTGCAAACTGATTTCAATTAATTCCCTTCTAGACAGCTAATTTTTCCAGCATGGCAAGTTCGATTACGAATTTCTGTAAGTGAGAGGGTTTCCAGGAGTCAGGCAAAGCGATACTAAGTTTTATAACTCAGGGTCCCTTTTGAATGTAGGTAAAAGTCTTCTGCTTTTGAGTGTTAGATAAAAAGAAGATAATCTTCCCTCTGAGAAGAATGCCATTGAAGCAAGGCAATTTTCACACAATTACATTTCATAATGGGATTGTTAAGACAGGGGTGCTTATTTCTGATGGGTTTGATCTTATGCTTATGTCTCTATTACTTAATTTTTTTCTTGCTTCTTGTCTACTCTTCCTCACTATCCTTGTGATACAAAATGACATGGGCTATACAATATAAGTGATAATGTATCACTGATGTAGATGAGTTTGCTGAGAGTCAGGGTATAATGAGAAGCTGCACGATTAAGAGTTTTAAAGCCCAACGGTGAAGTCCTGAAGGCCACCAGAGCTTTGAGGATAGCAGTGACACACTATGATGTTGTCAGGAGGCTGCAAAGGCACTTGCTCATGCTGGCTGTTCTGCGAGGGCCGTGAGGTCTGCCTGCCTTGCTGAGGTGGATGAGGATGCTTTGAGGTTGTGGAACACCATTTTGGAATTTTACTGTGGGATGTCTCAGGTGCCAGTTCCAAATACTATTTGTATCACTTTTGAAGTTCTGTGAGAATTCTGCAGAACTGCTTTCTACCTTTGTTGAAGATATTTCCAAAACAATAATTGGGACTCCTTTGGTTCTTTTAGGCAGTATGGGAGAAGATCAGAGAAAATTATTCAGGATGCACTGTTTAATTTTAGCACACACATTGTATGCCAGTTGTTTATGTATGTGGTTAGCACAGCAATATAGGGGAGTGGGGGGAAAACCAACAAAAATCCCAAACCAGAAAGCCAGTTGCAATGAAAGGCAGTTCAGCTTGTTCTTGTTTGTGGTGGGGTTTTTGCTGGTAATTATTTTGGAAAAAACCCAGTATTTAACTACAATCCCATCTACTCTGGAGTCAAATATTCAGCACTGCTTACTAGTGACCTACCACTAGCAATAAAAGGCATAAGTTTTACTGGCAGTTATTAATGTTCTAATAATATGTAGTTTAGCCTGTTCTGAGAGTTAAGATGGTACTGTATAAAAAGCTTGCAGATACATATCCAACTCCAGCAAATACCCAACAATGCACTGACAAATACAGGAAATCTTGTAGAAAACTATCCCAGTGTAGACTAGGCAATATTTTATTCCTGTCCTTGTTGAACAAAATATTTTAAACACACAAAATGCTTTGTTTCAAAGTAGCATTTTTGAAATCCAAAAGTTCAGCTGTTGCAATTCTTCTTTCCATTCTGAAGTTATATAACTTTTCTGGATCTCTAGAACTTCTTAAAAATGTTCAGTTTTAACAAAACAGTAATATTTTTTAGGTAAAAATGTTCTTATCACTTTGAATGAGCTCAAATAAACAAAAGCTGTGCATGTGTGTGTGACTAGAATTTTTTTTATTGCATTATACATATACCTTTTAATAGAAAATTTTTCTTACTTAGCAATAATAAGAAGCCACACAAAACATGGACTTCCTTGTATCAATAAGCTTTAACAAACCAAATCTGTTCCCTCAAGGCAAACAATCAGGTAGCTCTGACACCTGCAGCTACTGGAAACATTCATCTAAGAAGGAATCAAACTGGTGGAAGCCTGAGGAAATATACAGTAAATGGATTGAAAATACTTCATCTGGTGCTTACAGATTGTGCAATCATGAAACATTTTGCTAATAACCCCCCTAGAACTCACTAAAAGTTAGCTTACTGTGGGGTTAGAGCAATTATCAAATATAACAAGAGGAAGAAATAAGAGGAGAAAGCAGTATTATGGATTAAAGCTGTGTTTATGCATCAAATATAAAGGTAGAACAGTACTCTAAGATGATAATTTCTTTTAAGTTCTGCTGGTATACACATCTAGCACTTTTTTAAAAAAAAAAGTTTTCCTGTAGAAGTGGAAATGGCCTCTATTCATATGTGATTTTGTAACAGTGCATCTTTTTAAAAAGAAATTGCAAACTCATCCTGACAGACAAAAAGTCAAATTCTCAAAGGATCAGTGTACTTAGAAGTCCAAGTAGTTCTCTTTGTAATCCATATTGTTTGAACAATTCCTCTGCATCTGACAGTTTTGAAGAGTCTACATTGTGCTCTGCTATAGTGACTGTTACTTGTTCAAGTTTTCCACCACTTTTACAAATATACTGTCAAGTATCTTCCTCCCCAGTACAGTTTTGTGACCTTGAACTCATATCTTTGTTAGTCATTGGCCTAAATAATGCCAATTCACATCAGTACACTTACCATACCTCTACATATCGTTGCATGAAAACATTACGAAAAATGAGAACAGAGGCATAAGAAAACTTTAATCTAAATTTATTAAACTGTCAGTGAAGTCATCATGCTTACCAGCTGTAGAAAAACCTCTGAAGTCAGTCACAACTGATTCAGTAGTTTGTAAGAATCTTGACGTTCATGAAGCTGCTTTTCAAGCACCTTCTTCTGCTTTCCACCATTCAATGTTACCTGCTCCCTTCTTCTCCAACATGACAGCAAGAAGGAAGAAACAGAATCAGAAACAGTTGTGGAACACAATTATGCTATTTTCATTCTGCTGCTAAATGTCAATAACAACTAATTTATGAATGTGATTACATGAACATAAGAGAAAAACAGTGGACTTGATTCAGAAGGTCTGTTCCAAGCTTCGAGCCTATTTTCCATGCAGGACAGTACTGTAATGGTGGCTTTTGCTATGTACAAAAAGAGGCCACTGAGAATTAATCCATTAATTGCCTTTTATACACAGCTACACTGTCCAGATGTCATTTGATCCTACTTCTTTTACAAGCTTTAGCTACTTTTTAGCACCTTTAACTTAGCTACAGAACTGAGTATATGGCAATAATTATACAATAAGAATAGTCATAGTAGTAACGTAGTATAAGTAATTCATTCACACAGCCTAGGTCAGTAGGCCTTTGATAGACTAAACAAAAGTTACATGATCTCAATATATCGAATCAGTGAGGCAGATGAGTCAGGGTTTTTCCCACGGCAGAAGGCATGAAGAAACAATTTCAGTGCCCGGTAGCCAATAAACATAAGGTATCCCATTTTTAGATTAAGATGCGTGATTAGTATTACATAAATAAAGATTTTTTATATAATTCAGATAATAATTTTAAGAGTTCTGGTATTGAGATTGCACTCCCTTTCCCTTTAATGAATGTACATGCAAGTTCTTACATGTATAAATTCAAACTCTTCTTCAAACTTCAGTTTTATTTTGTATTGCACGTAATCATTTGCATCTATTTAATATTACACTATGAATTCACTACAGGATATGTATTTGCCATATTATATCTTCACAGCATTAAGTGACCAATTAAGTTATTACACTTGCTGCTGTCACTGGGAATGCCTGTGATCTCTGAATGCATTCCCTGAATGCTTCTGGTTCCACAGGTAGCGTTCAGGGGCCAGCAATGGACACAGGCCCTCCAAACCCCAATGTAATTCATTCAGACCTGCTTTTGTGCATCTCTGTGTGGCAGAGTTTTGCACCACATAAACACGGCCCCACTGCCAATATATAAAGAAGACAGAATAGCAGAAGTTTACATCTGAAAATTACTTTGGCAGCCATGAAAATTAAAATGAAAAGTTAAGGGCTTTTTTCAGTATCTGCAGGTTATAAAAGCAGCCCAGTGACAAAAAATTCTCTGAATTAATAGGGACACTGCCATCAGTCATTGGTAAGAACAGTATTGACTTCTACTTATAGAGAGCTCTGCAGACATTATTCTTCTGGAAAACAGTTATTACTTACAAGTTAAGGCAGTCAACTTTGTTAGGAAGCAGTATTAAAAGTTTTAAACATGCACAATATGTTTTTATGAAAAATACCAACAATGTTACTAACTTGATTTCAAGTATTGAATACAGAAGATTTACTTATGTGACTAATAGTGATACTTCTATAGTAACTTCTCTATTAAAATATCTTCCCATTAAGCCTCGGTCATTCGAAGCTTGCACATTATAGAGAACCAAAAATTCCAGTTATCATGTTCTGGATAGCATATGTGATTATAGCAATGGAGATATATATTTTTTATATATATATATACATATATATATATATATATATATATAGGATAGATACAAACCATTGTGGAAGTGCACATACAATATTTTGAAAGATTAGGATGTAAATTTCTGAGACAAGAGTAACAGGATCACTTGACATAATGATGTTGTTTACAAAATGTTGTTTACAAAATGTTGTTTACATACCCATAACAGAGCTGCAGCAGACAATAATTTCTTTTCTGGCTGATGATGAGACTTGGAAGTCAATCTGCAGGAACACCCCAGCAGGCAGAATGGCCAGAGAACAAAGTTAAGAGTTGGCTGTGTTGAAATGAAAGATATGTCCAAATTGTGCTGATAGAAACATAAGACAGTATTTATATATATCTTGGAACTCCTCTCCAGCAGGCCTGTCACATTTTTGGTGGTGGTGGTGTTTATTCTCCAGGATAGTATTCAGTTGTCAACTCAGAGTGAAGCTGGATTAGAACAAGGTAGTTCATCCATATGAACAGGGTCACTGGGATGTCGTCAGTGCCATCCACAAGATTAATAGCATGAGCGAGAGAAGTGATTCAAATTCCTGAATGGTTCAGACAGTGTGGAGTATTTGAAACATCTGCGCAGGGCTTGCAGCTACTGGACCTACAGGAGAACTGCACTCCTCTGGAGGAATAGCTGGAATGCAGGTGGGATATCCTACTGATCTTTCCTCAGGCTTCTGCGTTTCACCTGATAAACACTGATAACATATTTCCGGTTACAAGAAGAAAAAAGGAAATATGCATTTATCTACAATATTTTTCATTTCACTCTCCGAGTGAAATTTATTTAACAACCCCAAAAGCAAATTAATTGTACTAATTTCTAAGTACATGAGCAATTTTAAATTTGTCCTAGATAATATGGGTTTTGATGGATGTTCTGTAAGTACGCAGAACTGCATAAACGTGTGAGATGGAAAATAATTCTGTAGTAGGACCTACTTTCTTTGGGGAGTTGGACTAGATGACCTCCAGAAATCCCTTCCAACATAAATTAGTTGATTTTATAAAATAAAAATGCAGTTTTTAAAAACACCTTCTGTGAAAAAGCTATACAGCACAGTACCTTTGATGAGAAGTATTTAATCACAGGAGATAATAAAGAACTGTGTGATCACCCTACTGTAATGTTGTATATTGTATCAATTTCTTAAAAAAAAATAAAAGGAGGGGTGAGTGCAATCTTACTACTTTATTTTTCACTGTTAAATATTTTTCTTTTTACAGTAAAAAATGTGCTCTAAAAATGCAGTTCTTGTCAGGGAGATGCACTGAAATTCACTCAACATTAAATTGAGGTCAATAAGACTACAAAGATGAGATTGATATGCAAGTAGTTTAAATTTTCTGTATGAAAATAGATCTTACTTAAAAGATTTGGGACATTGCATGAAAGAAAAATCTCTACTTGTATATTGAGAAATGGAGACCTTCAAAAAGGTAATTTTTAGAAATTATACAGGACTTGAAAAACAGAAATTGAATATAAACCCTGAAAAATACAGAGCAGTTCTAATATCATAGTCAAAAAACAACTGAATTCTGAAGATAATGAACTTTGGTATTTAAAAATATCATGTCAGACATTGGTTTTAGCATGTTCCATCTTTCGAAGCCATTTGAACAACAGATTAAGTCACGAAGAGCTATTGTGCTATCAGTTTTCCAGTAAAGCCCTGTCCAAATCATTGGGAAGTAAAAAAATGGCAGAATGATTTAGCGCATCACCTCATTATTGTCCAAGTTTCACTTGCTAGACTGGGATAAACCTCTTACGTATTTTCCCAAGAGAGGATGGAGAATGTGGGTGACTGAACTAGAGAGCATTCAATGAGACAGGTTATGTTTTAAACCAGGTTTAATCTGAATTTTACTATCCAAACCAAATCCATGTTTCTATAATATGGTCTCTAAAGTGATACAGTGACAATCTCCTGTACCCTTTGTGTGTGGTTGAAGCATGGACATACCAGGAGGCCTCCAAAGTAGGGAAGAAAAGGTGTCATTCTATGAGCCAGATGAACTCCCCAAGGCATCTGTAACCTGCTGGTTTACCAAAGTAATAATCTCCTGTTCTGCCCTATCCCCTTTGTCAGTAAAAACAGATCTATCTGTGCTTTCCCCTATTTTTATGTTCTGTTATCAAATACTATAAGGTTGCAACTGTGTATCCTTATATAAGAACATTAAGTATTTTTACTGCATAAATATAATGAGAACTTTTTGGAAAAACATGTACAGTAAGTCAATGATTATTCTGAGTAACCTGAAGGACATGTGATCATTTCACAGAAATTTCACACAATATTCTGAGTTGGAAGGGACCAAAAAGGATCATCAAGTCCAACTCTTATGTAAATGGCCCATACGGGGATCAAACCCACAACCTTGGTGTTATTAGCACCATGCTTTAACCTCATTTGATCATTTATGGATAGCAATACAGGAACAGGACTAAATGGGTGACAGATTATGCATTTTGGAAACAAAAAAGAACACCAAGCTAGTGTAAAATATGGTGATAGTTCAGTCTGAACAAAAAAAAATACTCATTTTCTGCTCAAGTTCCTTTAAACTTAGTGGGGATTTTAAGTAACAATTTGCAGATGCAGAAAGAAAAAGATATTAAATTTACTGAATTTTAAAGTCTCCATTTAAAGTCTCCATCCAGACAAAGTCTGTAGTTACCAGTTAAAAGAGATAAGCACCTCAAAATCCCAAAACATATCTGAACAAACCTCAATGTCCCACTTCTGTGACAGAACGCACAAAATACTTTCCAGTGGTTCCCTCCCTCTCTCTCTCCCTATACTTTATTACTGAATTTGCCTGTCCTATCATGTTAATTGGACTAGTTGATATGTCACTGTTATTATCAAAGTTTTCTTTATTAACCGTCTTGTCTTTTGCAATTCAAAAATGATAGATCTGTCTTGTTGATTGAAAACACTGAACTTGAATGTAGAATGAAAAAAAATACGGATCCCTGTACCAGTTTCTTCTTCTCCATTGATTTCCTCTTTTTATGATTTTAAATACACTAGAGATATTTTTAGAAGCTAAAATAAGGTATTAAAGACATTTCCGTTGTCAGTTTTATCCATTTATGATGTCTAGTCTTTCTTAGTTGAGGTTTCTATTTGTTTAAAGCTACCTAGCTGAAATGGAAGCCACCCACATAATTTTTCCAAGAAAATTAAATATTTGCAATATAATACTTGTACTGTAGTTCCATTCCTCCATTACACATACTACATCTAGCTTCAGTGGTCTGAACAAGCGAAGGCATGCACATAATTAATTCCATGAGGGACAGCTTATTCATATATTTGCACACACAAGTCTTGTTCTTTGTGTATCAGTTGCATATAATTTACAATGTCTATTTCTGCTAACGAGTACTCAGTGTAAATTAAATTCTAAATAAAGCTCCAAGTTTTCAGACATATTTTTGTTGTTGCTTGATCAAACATTTTCTATTGTCCTACATGCACATGAGTGCGTGCACACACACATAGTGGAAATGGCTTTTTCTATTCTTCAGCTTGTGCTATGCAGTAAAATGGTTATAAAAATAGCAACATGGCAACAGTTGCTTGCACATGTGGATGTCATAAACATTTTGTGTTCCTTTACAGCCAAATTCAATTCAAGGCGCTGTCGCAGCAGTGGGCCTGCTCCAGGAGCCGGCACGGGAGAGGGTCTCTCAGGCACCAAGGTGATTTGCAAGTTGCAAGGGACTAACACATACGGTGTGGATTAGCTGTAAATTAAACACACAAGTGTTTTCTTTATAAGTGACATATATATAGGAGGAATTTCTTCACATAAAGGGTGATTAGACATTGGAATGGACTGCCAGCGAGGTGGTGGAGTCACCATCCCTGGAGGTCTTTAAGGAAAGACTGGATGTGACACTTAGTGCCATGATCTAGTTGGATCACAGGTTGGACTTGATGATCTCATAGGTCTTTTCCAACCTAATAGATTCTTTGATTCTGTGATTCCAGGGGCGTGATGACAGGTCTTGTCCCCCCCAGCCCTGCCTCACCCTCACCCACCACGCAGCTCACATTCCTTTCCCACACATATACATAAATGCACACAGGATCTGTGCTTTAAAACAACCAACCAACCAACCAACCAAAAAAAAAACCACCACCAACCAACCATAGGAATGTTGTTTTAAAAAAAAAAAAAGCACCCTTTTTCAGGATTGTGAGTAAGTATGACCCAAGGGGCTTCCCAGAGGTATCCCAGTTCCCTCTCAGCTGTTGTTCCCCAGGGCCTTCCGTCAGCCCACCCTGGTCATCTTCCTGAGCGCCAGCTCCCTGCAGAGGTGCCCCTCGCTCACTATGGAGCTCCTTCCCCCAGCACAAAGCCCTGCCTTGATTAATGCCCAGGTTTGAGCTCCCATTTCAGTGTTACACCATTTCTACTGTGTCCAGTTCTGTGCCTCTCAATTCAGGAACAACATCGACGTGCTGGAGCGTGTCCAGAGAGGGGCAATAAAAGGTGGTGAAAGGTCTGGAGCACATGTCCCATGAGGAGCAGCTGAGAGAGGCGAGGTTCTTTGGGCTAGAGGAAAGGAGGCTCAGGGGTGACCTTATCACTCTCTACAACCACCTGAAAGGTGGGAGTAGCCAGGTGACGGTCAGATTCTTCTCCCAGGCAAACAGTGACAGGACAAGAGGACAGTCTTCAGCTCTGCCAAGGGAGGTTTACATTGGATGTTATAAAGAATTTCTTCACAGAAAGGGTGATTAAACATTGGAATGGACTGCCCAGGGAGGTGGTGGAGCCGCTGTCCCTGGAGACTTTTAAGGAAAGTCTGGATGTGGCACTTAGTGCCATAGTCTAGTTGACATGGTGGTGTTTGGTCACAGGCTGGACTCCATGACCTCAGAGGTCTTTTCCAACCAAATTGATTCTTTGACTCTGTAATTCCAGGGGATCGATAGGGCGTCCTGTTCCCCCCCAAGCCCTGCCCACCCTCGCCCACCCCGCGCCTCGCGCTCCTTGCCCGCGACCGCCCAGGACGAGGCTCTAAGATGGCGACGGCTCCCGCCACCCCCGCCGGCGGGCAGGTGAGCGGGGCGGCCTCTCCCCTTCTCTTCCCTCCCCCCGCCCCGGCTGCGCCGCTCCCCCGGCTGCCGCCCAGAATGGTGGCCACCCCTGGCGCGGCCCCTCGCAGCCCGCCCGGCCCGGGAGCTCCCCCGGCCTCGCCCTCCCGGTCTGCCGTGGGGAGAAGCGGGGAGATCTCGGCACCGCCACCACACCCCCGAAGCGAGGCGGGCTCGGTCCTCCCGCGGCGGCGGAAGGGGCTCGGCTCCCCCGACCGCCCTGGGCGGCAGCGGGCGCGGCTCCTCCGAGCGAGCCGGTCCGATCCTTCTCAGGCACCGCGGCACACCAGAGGTCTGCAGCCCCGCCAGGGCCGCCGGCTGCTGTGGAGGAGAGCCGGGAATGACCGGAGAAGGGCTCTAGGGCGGGGAGAGGATGAGATCTCACGTAACGCAGTATGCAAAATACAAATCTTTGGGTACAGCCTTCCTGACTTGTCGAACTCGGAACCCGCGATCTCTGCTGTCTGGAGTAGGTGTGCGTTCCCCATTGGCACTCCACGCTCTCCATGGGTGTGTCCCTCTGTGCCGGGGACAGACATCAGCACGCTTGGGGTGTCGCTTTTCTCCAGAGAAAAACCAGCTGCTTTTCTCCAGAGAACACTTAGTGTTCCCTAGGCAGATTTTGCCCATGTAGACAGAAAACTACAGCCATTTGTCCCAGGTTTTCCCCCTCCGTGACAGCTGCAATCTGGGAGCCATACCGAGTGCTGGGCGACTGGGCACTGTCCCACACCCGCTCTGTGGAACAAGTGGCCCGTGTGGAGTCCCGGGAGTGCTTGGCTGCTTCAGCTCAGAAAGTGCCACAGGTTCCCCTCGTTTGCAAGTTAATCTGTGTATATTTAGTATGCCCAGAACACACTGGAGTGGTCGTGCAGCCAGTACAGGCCATTCTCGACATGCCTGTTGGTGCTCCCAAGGCGTTTTGTATTTGTAAAGTTGTATCAGTTTTGTGGTTTAAACAATAGTGATCCTAATGATGTTGGGCCTAATAGCTCATGTAGAAAACCCATTTCTTCTGATACACATTTTACTTTTTATCAGCCGCTAGTAACAGAGATCCATAATTCTCTTGTTAATGGGTTTCACTGCTTTTACAAATTAGAACACGTCAGTAATATACTCTGAAAATAAAAATTGTGTCTACGTTTTTCAACGTATAATGTACAAGCAGTGTACTGGATGCGTAATTTTACAATGTCATGTATATAGTAAAGTTGCATAGAATGAAGTTGCAACTGTATTGCAAAGTAAACAGTTTCATGTTTATCACGTGTATGGGTTTGGCTGACCTGAGTGAGAAGCCTGTCAACAGTCAACATACATTACTTTCTCACTTCACGTCTATCAACTATGATTCTCCACAGGAAAAGAAAATTAGCGTAAGTCTACCATAATTGTTGGGCTATTTTTATCAATTTAAAATAGAGACTGCCAATTTAATATCTTTATCTCAGACTATATTACAGTTTGCAAGGTGCTGTGATATATATGTTCTTCTTGCTGTGCATATTACTTTAAACACTAAATTTGCGCATGTTGTAGTGAATCCATAATGATGCAGTATATTATACTGACAAATGTACTATATACTGTTAGGCAGTAGAAAACCAACTGAAGATCTGCGGCTTTAAGAGCAATGGGGATGTTATAGGATTGTATCTGGCTAGACAGTAAGTAAAATATGTTTCTCCTTTTGACTTTTACTAAAAGTAGAGCACACAGTAAATTGTAACCTTTCATAGTGCTTTCTGTATCAGGTACTTTTTGAACATCATTTATATGTGAAATACCAGTAAAACATATTTGTACCTAGTCCATACACGTTGTGAATGAAGAAATGGTGAAGGTACAGTAACACACACAGCAGAACTGTTCTTACAGTGAAGCAGTTACCTGCCTCAGCTCTAGATACACAATCCATCTCCAGCAACCCAGAGTTGCTTCAGGATCTGTGAGTTCACAGAGTTCTGCATGAACTTCTACCACAGGAGCAGAGGAATGAGGCTTGATGGCTAATCTCTACCTGTTCTAACTGGCTTTTAAGGCTGGGTGGAAGGAGTATCAAGAAGGCAAATGTAAAAACACAGAACCTGCGGAGTCTAAAGACTGCCAAATTTTTTACCTCCCTGAAGAAATCTGTTACTGCAAGAGCGAAACTCATTGGTAGCACCTTTGAAATTACCTGCATCTCTACTGTTAAGGACTGAAGGGAGGGCAGGGCAACATGAAGTGAATACAAGCGCAAGAATGCTTGTTTTGGGCAAGTAGTACTGATCACAGAACTGATCTCCTCTTAGAGCTTTATGAAATAGCTTGAGATGTAGGGCAGATGAGGAGAAGAAGCCATGCTGAAGGAAGGCAAAGCTTTCATGAACCTGTGGGTGATCTAGGTTGATAGAGGTGTATGTTGTAGTATGAACATGCTGAGAGGCTACCATTGAGGGATGAATGCATGACAGGACATACTTCAAAGTTTTTGGAAAGCGTGCTTTGAATTTCTGGCCAGGGCATAATTCCAAGTGTTGCATACCTGTTTGCAGCCTCACGACTGCATCTACTATTCGTAAGGCTGATATTATATATGGGGAACTAATGCAGTTTAATAATTCTGGGACAAGGTTTTCAAGGTCCCTGGGTCCAATGAATGAAGAAAAAAAAAGGTATTATGGAATTTCAACATTGTCTAGCTTGTTTTTAGTGGAAATCAGGTGGTATTGAAAATCTAAATGTGTCCACTAGTGTGTTTGAATTCCTTATCACATCTCCTGATTTACACTGGGAAGGTATTTGATGCTTTGTGAAAAGTAAACTTAAAGCATGTAGTTACTGTCAAATTTCTTTTAAATAAGCATTTTAGAAATAAGAAAACATAAAAATTAGGGGAGAAGTTTAAATAATGAAAAAATTACAAGATACATATATATATTCTAAACAAGACAAGAAAATTACTATAATGTGTATGCGTAAGAGAATTAAGACTGTGTATACAGCCTTATTAGGCACATTTTTTGATTTTAAATGCTTGAATGTATGCCCTCACTGGCCATATTTTTTGGTATAAATAAAAAGAAATTATCAGATGGCAGATATAGAAGTGATCTGTCTTCCCATGAAACCATTTTGAGACAGATGAAGGAAGATGGCTTCTTTGATGATTGGATAGAAGTGAACTCCTTTTATTCTATACTAACTTATATAAACTTGAACTACAGCCAAACTCAGTATCAGATCATGCCTCCTTAACTGTTGGTTTGACATATTTTTCTGCTGGCTGAAATAAGAAAGTGAAAAAATAATAATTAAAGTCAATCAAATAAGAGAGAATGAGTTTATATTTTTAAAACACTACTCTCAAAGGGACATGAAACAATGTAAATTTGGACACTGAAAGCTGTCATCCTAGGAAAACTGATTAACTTAGCAGTAGGTAGAAAAAGAGTGCTGCAGGCCAAAAAGGATCAGTTTATAAAAGACATACAAAGTTTGGAAGGCATCTAGAAAGGGACAGGCTCTTTTAAAATGTTAGAGGAATTAAGTTCTACCTGGGGCAAATTAAATGCCTTAAATACTACCAAAAAAACCCAGATCAAGGCTTGGAGATAGTCAAAATGAGGCTGTTAGTAGACAGGCAGTAAAGCCAATTAAAATGTAAACCTGTAAACTAGGTATAGAATGGCAGTGACAACGAATATGAGGAAATTTTGGCTTTGCTTCCTGAAAAGTAGTGCAGGGGTGTACAGGAGAATTAGATAGTAGCTCTGTAAGAGTTCTGTATGTCCTGTCAACAGTCATCTGCCTGTCTGTGCCACTTGCAGTAATGTCTTTTCTGGTTACTTGTGACAATAGATACAAAAGTATGTATTTGGAGGGTTAGTTTTTATGAATTATCTGAAGAAGCTAAATAAAGTGTTTAATGAAGTAACAGCATGGGTTAATCTGACTTTCAGAAATAAAGGACACTAAAGGTACAGCACCTCAACTTTGCAGGGTTTGCTTTTGACAGATTTTTTATTTTCAAATGCAAGATCAAGAAAGGTGTCCACCCCTTTGTCTATACCTGGAGGGTGTGTTGAAAAAAACAAACAAAAAAAACCAGCATGGGAAGCTAGAAACTAGGCTTCACAGCTGGAAAACAAACATGATTTTAGGCTGATGATGTGAGGTTAATTTTTATCAATTCTGTTCATTCTTTCTGAAACACTGGTCCCAGTCTTGCAACACATTAAAATCCACAAGGAAATTTCTATTATGTCAATTAAAATTTGTCATATAAAGGTAATCTACAATTATTCTAGTGGAAATTAAGAATATTTATTTAAAGCAATGAAAAATCAAGATGAGCAATTAGTGAAAATTACTCAGCAGCTCAGTAATATTCTGTGTAATTTGTTATTTTTAGTACACTAGCAAGCTCAAAGCGCTAGATACACAATTAAACAAAAAGCCCTACTGGCCCATGGGAGATAGTTTCAGCCTTAGTGGATGTACTAAGTTTATGTGAGAGCAGGAGAGGAGTGAGAAAAGGGCAAAAGATTTCACAATATGCACTAATATGAAAAATAATAAGAGCTGTGCATTGATGTGGTCTGTGTCTGGCTTCTGTTGGCTTCTTTGGCA